TATATAAATAAATATAAATATATGTATATATATTTATATTTATATTTATATTTATATTTATATTTATATTTATATTTATATTTTTTGTATTTTGTTTATTTTTTTTTTATTATTATTTACTATAATAATATTTATATTGTGCTTTTTTTAGATTAATAATTTTTATTTAAAATTGTATTTTATATTTTTATAATCATTTAATTTAAATTATGTATTTATAAAATTTTAAGCAACAATAAAAATTAAATTTAATACCTATTTTTTTTATTAAACTAATTAATATTTCTTACTTTATTTTTCATGATCTTTTAAATATATTATAATTAAATTTTTTAATTAGAAAAATTTTTTTTTTTTTTTACAAAAATATAATTGATTTTACAAATTCATTCTAAAACATTCTATAATATATTTTATTTAAAGAAATTTTTGTTTCTAATTTGCATATTTTTTGTCTAATAAAATTATATTATTCTATTCATTATAATTAATTATTAATAATTTCTATAAAAATTAATTATTTTTTTTCAAACTATATTAATTATATTAAAAAGCTATGAATTATTTATTTAATATAATAACATTTAATATAATGTTTTTCAAAAATCAATAATTATCTATAATATTTTTTTGTTTTATAAGAAATAATATAATAATAAATTATAAAATTATAGTTAAATACGAAAAACAATTTATTTATTATAAAAGAAATTATTTCACATTTATTTAAGATAAAAATTCAATAATTTTCTTTAAATGAAACTTTAACATAAAATAGTTTTTTATGTTAATTAAAAGCAATTAAATAAAAAATACAATTTCATGTGTAATTAAAATAATATAAAATCAGTAAAAAGTATATATATATTTTTTAATTAAAATTACTTATATATTTATTTTTTTAAATTATAATATAAAATAAATAAAAGCTTATATTTTATAAAGAAAATACTTATAGATGTTTTGGATATTTTTAAATTAGAGCAGGTAAAAACTCACTTTTAAATTAATAAATTAAAATTTTTAAACTTCTAAAATATAGTATTAAAATATTAAATTTATGTTCATACGAAATTATAATTTTAAAGCATAATAAGTTGTTATTTTAGATTATTACGAATAAGATAAATTTTATTAAACTTTAAAAACATCTCTGTTAAATTTACTAAACAATTTTAAATATATAAAAATTAATAGGATCTCAAGTACAAATTCATAAAATTATCTCTACAAGACATAGATTTTTTAAAATAAATTAAAATCTAAAGAATAAAATTATTAAAAAATATTAAGAAATATAAATATTATATATATATATATATAAATATTAATCATTTATATATACAAAAAAAATAAAAATATATTTAACAAAAATATATTTTTGAATGTATTATTTATCAGTACATAAATAGAATAATAATAAAAAGCAAACTAAAAAAGTTTAAAAATAAGGAATTTTATTTTTATATATTTTCATAGTTGATATTTTAACTATTTTTCTAATAATTATATTGAATTAATTCCTCATTATTTTTAAATACTTAGATTTAAATATTAGTTGATGCCATTTTAGTTTCTTCAATTTTTTAAAGATTTCTTGTAAAATCATAATCTCCGAATCCATCTCCTTAACCATAAGGGTTAGCTCCGTCAGGATATATGTTAAAATTCATCTAAATCTATGCATTATTGGAAGGATAAGGCAATCCTAGTTCAACATTAATAAACCCTGACCCATTATCTCTAAGGATTCTAAGCCTACTTTTTTTTCTATTTCTAGTTACTTTGGCCAAGGGAGTTAAATCCAAAACAATATCATCACCTAAGAAAAGAACCCTATTAAGTACTAAATCTTTTTTATAAGTTTTATCAACAAATTTAACTTATGTATACAAAAAGTCTCCTACAATATATTAATTATTATTTTTGAAACTCTCACAATCAGATGTCTCACAAAGGCTTCCATGCAAATCCAAATCAGCAATAATTACACAATAATCACTTCCTTACATACACTTGTCAGTCTATTAAAGAGTTGTATCTATTTAGAAAGTTGTTACAGTGTCCCTGCTTGTATAAACAATAATCATAAACTTATGTACCCTTAATGTCTATCTTATATTTCCAAGTTCAATTTGCATATTAATAACTTAATAAATAACGTTATCATATAATAACTTTGTGGAAAAAGCTAATTAATAGATATCTATTAAAGCCACTTTTATAGAAGTTACATAGTTTTATTAATAATTCAAATATTTATTATCTACTAGTTAGTAGGTACCATCTTAATATTAAAAGAAAAGGGAAGAGTGTAAAGTTTCTTTGCATGGGTTCGATATGGTGTCTTTTGGCCAATAATACGATATTTAATTGAGAACAAAATTATTTCCATTTTCTTTATTTGACATACAATATGAAACTATTCGCAAATTTTAAATACTTTTATATAATTCAACATCACATTTTGTCAAATCTTCAATAGGCTTTGTTAAAATAGTCTCGCATTTAAATGGATTTTTAGAAACCAATACGTAATTTTTCGATATATCACATTAACAGAATATGTTTTGGACCATTATCGAATTAGGATCTATACAAGAAGTACATACCCCATTAGGATTTTCGCCTGAATCGCAATTACAACTTGCATGACACAGGTCACTTTTATATTAGGCAATTATTTTTAACTTTCTTATACCCCAATTAAAATTATATGGATTAGTGTAAGCTGAATATATTTCAAATTCGAAGTTTTTATTTATATATGGAATTTATGCTTCTATAAATATAGGATATTAAGGAGATGATTTTAAACACCCAGGTACATTCTATTCTGGTTGCTGATCTCCTGTTGTAGCTGGCAGTCCTACTGCACTTGCTTTAAAATCTATTATTTTATTTAATTAAATTAATATATTTGTAATTTTTTTTTTTTAGATAAATATTTAATTAATTTGCTTTTTAATAAAAAATCTATTTTTATATTACCTATTTTTTTGCTATTTATGTTTATTTATATAGTTTATAAATTAAATACTTCAAGTGCCCATAATTCAAATTGTATATTTAAATTTGTTTAATCTACAGTAGATTAATAAGATTTTTTAACTGAAGCTTCTCCTCCATTTGTATATATTGCTCCAAAAAATGTATTTACGCATGTCTATATAGATTACCTAATATTTTAATTTACAATCCATCCTTAGCTTTCTGAAAAGTTTGTCGTATCAAATTCATATGTAATTACCTAATTATTGCAATCGCAATATAGAATTAAAATTAATAACAATAAAAATTATATGGATTTCATATACAGGTAAAAAATTTTATTTTGAATATGATCCTTATATTTTTTTTAAAAAAAAAAAATTTAAATATTTTTTTTTTTTTTAATAGTTTTTGTTTACTATTGATTAAAATTATAAATAATTAATCATTATAAAAAAAACATTTTTATATTGTATTAAATAAAAAAAACTTAAAGTGATTTAACTTAAAATATACAATTGAATGATAATAATCTACTTATTATTTCAATTATAAAAAAAATGTTTTTATATATATGATAAATTAAATATAAATAAAAATATTTTAAACAAAAAAAAATATTTTAAGAAAAATTAAATATTATAATTAAATAAATAAAAATATATTATTTATTAATTTCAGTTAGTTTTATTTTAAAATTAAATATAAAATATATACACTCCTTTCTTATCATAATTAAAATTAGATATTTTTATTATCTAAAGATATAGATTTAGTTTTATTGATTTTCAACTACATATCAAAAGCTAAAAATAAATTTTCTATATAATTAATATAATTATTGACAAAAATATTATTATTAAAAAATATAAATTAACTTTTTTAAAATAGCAGAAATAATAATAAAATATACATTGGAATTATTTTCTTTTTTTTAAAAAAAATAATATTTTTTTATATTTACATATAATTATTGAATTAATATAATTATTATATTTTTATAATTATTTTATAAAAAAACGATTGAATTAAACATTAAAATCTCAATTAAAATGAAAGATTATACAAAAGTAATATATTATTTACATGTCGAAAATTAAAAATAGTATATTTAGAATTTTTTAATCTATTAATCGGAAATCAAAGGAAAATATTATTCGTATTTAAATAATTTGATAAAATTATTATTTATGCGTGTTTATTTAAAATTTTGAAATTAATTATTTATTATATATCATTTTAAAATATCTTTAGTATTTTATTAATTGTATTTGTTATTAAACTAAATTTAATATTTTAATAAATTATCACAAAATTTATAATTTTATTTTTAAAATTTTTATTTATACAAATTTCATTAATTAATATAATAATGCTTTTAAAATAAAGATTAAAATATCTAAAATTTTTTGCTTTTAATTCTTTAAATTAATAGTTTTTTATGATTATTATATTTGAATAATTTGTTAGTTTTATAATTCATATATATTTATAAAACACTAAAGGTAATATATGGTTTATAATTTATATTTAATAAATTTCCAAAACCTTTTATTTTAATTAATAGTAAAATATGAAGATAATTAAATATTCTATTTTTAAAGTATTAATTAAAATATTTACTTTATAAAAAAAATGAATTATAATATGTTTTAAATAATATAATAAATAAAGATAAATTTATTAAAATGGGAAGATAAATATTTTATTTTTAAATTATTTGATATATTCTTTAAAAAAAAGAGAAAAAAATAATACTATTATTTAAATAATAAAAATAAATTTAGCATTATTAATAATATTATATTTATTTATAATTTATTTTAGAACCGAAACATTTTTATTGTAAATATTAATATAACATATTTTACTTAAGCACTTTTATTAAAAATAATATTTGGGATTAGAATTTTATAAACAAAATAATTTTTTATATTTTTTTTAATAAATAAAAATTATAATAATATTTTTTCATTTTTGTAATATATATTTAAAACATATAGTAATGTCATAAATTTAATTTTTTTTTTTTACTTATATTTTGTAAACTTATAAAATATTCTATTATTTAAAATTATTAATATTTTAATTAAAACTATTTATTAAATTTAAAATCCATTTTTATGAAAAATTCTAAATATTTTTATTGTATATATTATAAAAAAGCCTATATAAATTAAAATTCTTAATATAATTTTTATAAATTTTTTTTTTGTAATATAATTTTTAATAAAAAAAATAACTAATGGCTTCTTGCTTAAATTGGTAACTTTTAAACATTTTAATTTAAGTTTTATTTATTAAATAAAATAAGTAATAAATAATTAGAAAAAGATAAAATAGAAACGCATTAAGCATATTGCTTCAAAAATATATTGAAATGTGGCATTTGTAATGAATTTTATGATAAAAGAGAACCCGAAGAACATTTAGAAAGCCATATATTAGTATATTTTATTTTTAAATAAAATAAAAAGAAATAAAAAAAAAAATTAAAAAAAATATTAAATATTAAAAAGGTAAAATGTTAATTTTGTAATAAAGAATTAGAATAATAATAAATTGTAAAACATAAATAAAATGAATGCTAAAATAGACCAAAGTTTTGTAGGTTTTGTGAAACTGATATTCTTAGAGATTAATTTTAAAATCATGTAGTTATGTGCAGTTCTAGAACAAAGTCATGTATAAAATGCAATAAAAATATAATATTGAGAGGTATTAATTATTTATTAATATAAAATAATATATTTTTTTAAATTTTTTTTTTTAATTTTTTTATATAGATATATTTATAATTTTTTAATTTTTATATATTTTTTTTTTTTTTCTATTAAGGATGGGATGATCATGAAGCTATTTGTTTTAATATAAAATAAATAAATAATAGTAAAAATATTGAAGAAAATATTATTAAAGCTAATTTTTAAAGAAATTAATTATAATAATAAAATAATAATTTTTAGAAAGTTTAATAAAGTTAGTATAATTATGATGATAGTAATTAAGATGAATATGATTATTAAAATAATGATGATGAATATGAATTTTAATATGAAAATGATTAAAGTGATAATGAGAATAATTAAAATGATGATGACTATGATGAGGATGAATACGAGGACGAGGATGAGGACGAGGATTACGAAATTTAATAAATAATAAAAAACAAAAATAATATGTAAAATAAGAAAATAGACTAAAAAAAAAAATATTAAGATAAAATTATTAAATAGTAATAGAAATTAGAATAGTGTATAAATATTTTTATTCATTATTTTTTAATTTTACTAAAAAAAAAAAGAAAAAAAAAATTAAAAGTAAAAGTAAAGTTATAATGATGATTATGATGAAGAATTATAAAAAGTAATTGAAATGTCTAAAACACACTAATGATCAAATGGTTAAAAAACAAAATTAGTGTAAATAATTTTAAAAAATATTAATAAATAAAAAAAATTATATTTATGTTTAGTACTTATATATTTAATTTAATTAAAAATTTTTTACTTTGTTTAATAATAAATAAATTTAGAAATTTTATTTTTTACTTTAAATATATTTAAAATTAACTTAAACTTTTAATATATATAATTTATTGTAATTATTAAAATAAAATTTTCATTATTATTCTATAAAATTTCTTATTTTTTTTTTATATTTTTATTTAGATGTTTATATCTTTATTTTATTATTTATAAAAGAATCTTTATTTATTTAATTTTTATTTTTTATCCAAATTAAAAAAATAAGACAGGCAAATAAAATGTTCAAAAATATTTAAAAATTAAATTTTCATTTAAAAGCATTTATAAAATTGCAAAATAAACCAAATAATAATTTTATTTTTTGGAAAAATACGATATTACAAGAAAACAGATTAACTAACATAAGATTACAAATAAATCATAAAAAAAATATTTTTTTTCACAATAAATAGATTCTGAATAAATATCAAAAAAACCATTATTAATATTATTATTTGGATTTTTAAGCACTATAAGCTTAGGATATTTTCTCTACCAAAGAAAAAAGTAAAATGAATTAAAATATAAATATGAAATATTAGAAAAATTGAAAGTATTCAAAGAAAATTATGAGAAAAATCCTTCTTTTTATTCAGTAGAAGAAATGAAAAAAATAATAAACGAATTTATTGTAGAAAACGTAATTATTTGTATAGACTAAAAGACAAATAATGATTTGAGAAAAATTATGATTGAACTATGTAAAAATTATCCAAATGAAAAAGAATTTTAGTTTTTTTGTAGTGAAGTAATTGAAATTGAAAAGAGAATAGGATATTTAAAATCTACTATTCTTTTAGATAGAGATTATATTGATAGAGTTCTTATTCAATAAATGACACTTAGTTGCTAAAGATATGGACATTAAAATAATTTTTTTATGATTAATTCTATGATAAATGTGTTAAATTTAGCTACGATAATAAATATGAATTAGCTTAAGAATGCTTTAAAGGATATTTAAATTAAAAAACTTAGAAAAAGTAAAGAGCAATAGTTTAATTAGTTAAATTACATTTAAATAATCAAAATGAAGAAATGGCCAATAAAATTGTAATGGATTAAATTAGTAAGGAAATTTCTAATAATGATAAAGAATAATTAATGAAACTTATTTAAAAATGATGACAAATTATTTTTTTAAATATTTATAATATTATTTAAATAAAAAGTCTATTATATATATATTTATTTTGCTTCTTAAAATAATTTAAAAATTTAACTCTTGTATAAAATAATAACTAATTTATAAATTTCATAATAAATATTATGAAAATTTATTTAAAAATAAATAATCAACTTTTTAATTTTTTCTGCTTTATAAGATAAATTTTTAATATAAAGAATTTTATTCTTTTTTATTGTTTATTTACTTCCAATTTTACAAAGAATTCTTTTATTATATACAAATTATTCCAAAATGTTATTTAAATTATTTATTAAAAAAACTTGTCATTAGATTTAAAAATATAGTAAAATAAAATTAAAATAATATATTTTATATATTTATATATAATAAAATTATACTATAATATACAAAAAAATTATTTATGTTATAAGATAAAATAAAATTGAAAAATATAGCTTAAGTTTAAAAAATATTTATAATGTATATATATATCTAATTATTTAATATATTAATTTTTAATTATTTTGTTAATTTTGATTTTTTCACAATTTTAACGATTAGTTTATAGGAAACCAAGAAATATCCTATTGTATATATTTTTCATAAACATAAGTTTCAGTTCCATCATAATCACTTTAATTTTTAATTTTTAGATGTATTAAATAAAATAAGTAATTCCAAACATTGTGTTATTTATTTTAATGCTTACTAAAACTAATTCCTTTATTTTCAAATTCGCTTCTTTCTATATTACATATAAAGCATTTATTTTTTCTATCCTAATCTATATAAAATAATAAATATTTTATTTATTTATTTATTTTTTAAAAAAAAAAACCTTAAAATCTTTTTGCATCTCTTAATTCAGCAAAAGAATCAATTATAATACCAAAAATAATATTAAGTAAGATAATAATGATGAAGATAAAAAATGACAAATCAAAGAAAAGTCTTGAAATATATTCATCATTCCCTTATTCAGGTGAAGGATATAAAAACACATCACCTATCCCTCCCCCGTTTCTGAGCCCCATATCTAAGAAAATAAGTAGACAATCTTTTGCATTTTTACAAATAGGAAGGGTCTTATCATCTCCATAATAAATGAGTGAATCTTTTATAGAAGGAATGAAATAAGCAAGCATAGCATAAATATAAATAACTACGATTCCCAAAACAACAGTCATTACAAGCTATATAATATTCTAAGTAATTGCTTTAGTAACATTTTATAATACTGTAGAACGTTAAATAATATCTAAAAGTAATAAGGAATAAAAAAATTTATTGATTATCATTCCACATAAAGAGAATAAAATATAAACTAGAAGATATACGGAATTAGTATTTAAAATAATTTCATAGGAAATGAACAAAATTTTGATTATTATATTTTATCTGTCCATTTTTAATTTAAAAAATTTGTTTTAGATTATTTTGTACTCTAATGGCATTTAAAAAATATTCCAAACAATAAAAACTGCTATTGAGATTATCAAGTTTAATAATTAAAATATATTCTAAATGTTTTATGAGTTATTTTCATATTCAAATATTTCTATAAGTAATGTTAAATTTATTAATAAAGTTATTGTAAAATTAATATTCCTAAATAAAGCTAAATAACTAAGATTAAAGTACAAACCTAAAGCATTTAATTTTAAAAACTATTCCATTTCGTTTAAAAAGTTTTCTTTTTAGCTTAATAAGCCGTTTATTTTTTCAGTAGAACCTTCTCTGTTTACATTTTAGATGAATTTGTTCATTGTTATAGTACTCAGGTATTTTGTTATTGGATGTTTTCGGAAATATATTTTTTACAAGTTGTTTTTTTAGTTTACTATTTCTATTGAACATGTATTAATTTGCATAAAAATTAAGGCGTTTCTTATTTCATGTTCTTGACTGTTATTTTAGTTTAGAAGTTATTCTAATGAATAATTGTATTTTTATTTAAAACTTTTATCAAGGAATTTTTAATTTTTCAAAAGCATATATGTTTCAAAAGCTTTTATTTTAATATAAAAAATGTTAATATATATATATAAATATAAAATTATAATTATAAAATACCTTCAGTAATAATTAAATTAGCTTTTTCGTAAAGCATAGCATTATTATAAGTTTTACTAGTATTTTTATTTTAATTTTTGAGATCAAAATCTATAGTTTCTGGTTTATATAAAGTTGAATTTTTTAAAAAAAGTTTTTCATCTTCTGAGCATAAACTCTAAAATTAATTTTAATTATTAATAATTATATCTTAATTATTTTTAATTTCGCTATTAGCCAAAAAGATTCTTAACCCTTAATGAAAATTACTAATTTTTTTCATATATTCATTATAAAGTTTATAATTGAAAGCAATTTTTTCAATCATTAATGTAGGATCAATATATAGCGAAATTTTATTAATAATATATGGATCTTAATTAATATCGTATAAGTTTCTCAAAATAAGCATAATTTTTTAATTGAACTCTGTTTTAAATACGCTCATTTTATTTCTACTATTAATATCATATTAAAGATCTTCCAAGTTTTCCAAAAGATTCGTATTGCATAGAAAAAGTTAATTTTACTCGCAAGGCCCTTAAATCCATTCAATAAGCGTATCTAATATTTTTATTCCCATTTAAAGATTATCATCTTATATAATAAGTGAGTATTTCCCAAAAATATCCGTTAGAATTAAAAGCATGTTTATATTGTTATTTTTTATTGAACCATCTTCATTTATTTATTACTTTAGGAAGCATTGCATTGGATAGTAGTGATTTTCTGTTGAAAGTCTAAGAAGCTCGAGTATCTTTACACATATATCTAGCTTTACGAAAATAATTTTTTTAAAATGAAATTAAGAGTTCACATCTTAATGGGAATTATTTGAAATAAAACTCATATTTTTAGTCTTTTCTTTTTGGCTTTTCACATATTCTTTGAAATAATTGAAGTTTGTTTATAAATATCGGTTTATTTCTACAAGAAAACTATTTTCTTTATCTTATAATAAATATTAATATAAAGATTCTTATATATCTTTATTTCCTTCTTCAATAAAATCGATTAAACATTTAATATATTCCAATTTCATCTATGTATCTTATTCTACTATTATTATATTACAAAGGAAATCCAGAAAACCCATTGAAATAAGATCTTTTTGAATTGATTAATTTGTTTCTAAATCTTACTTAAAGTTAGATATTTTTCTTAAAATTTTCATAGAGTTCATTCTTGTGTTTGTTTGAATTTAATCACAACTCAAAACTGCTATAAAGCTTTATATAATGGACCTGAATTTATATTTATCTTGCATTCTTATTGTAATTAAGAGATATATTAATTATTCAAGCTCTATATTATGTTCTTATTCTATAAAAATTTAATCGAATATAATTTAAACTGTTTATTTTTAATTTTAAATTTAAGAATTAATTATATTTTATCCAATTTTGTATTATTTGTAAGCTAATTTTTTCATTATAATAGAATGATTTTCAATCATTTTTTTTTTAAGTTGTTTTTATATGCTTAGTTTTTATTGGATTTTTTAACTATATAATCTTCTTACTTTTTCGCAATTAAATTGTAAACTACTTTATTTTTAGTTTATTTCCAAAATTGAATTTATATTTTTATCAAGAGTTTTTTTTTTATTCAAAATGCTTTCATCCCAATATTCATATATTATTTAACTTATGTTCTTTAAATATATTTGAATTTAAAAAAATATATATTATTTAAAAAAAAAATCTTTTACTTATATATTATTACAAAGATCATGTTGTTAGTTAGATGGAATATCAGGAAGATTTTATAAATATATAGATATGGCAGGAAATATAGAATCAATGATGTAAAATTCATACATTTATAAATAAGAAATGCATACTTAATATCTTTGAGTAGAATAGCAATTTTCAATTTCAAAAATGTTCAAAATATCTGATTTTATCATCCATTTAGACTAATCATTATCATTTTAAATTTTTTAAGTAATTAAAAATAATCTAGAAGATCTTAATAAGCGATATCATTTATTATTTATTCGATACTTTCTATTTCTTTTTATTCAATATTTTTCTTATTTAAATAAACTGAAACTACAAAATTCAGTAGTTCGAATTTCAAAGTAATTGCCCAAGGAACTTATTTCATAATATTGTAGATATCCTAGATAGAGAAAAAAACTCGAACAAAAGTATTCACATTGATTCCTGAATTTACTGACAATTCTTTAAATGTAATTAGAAGCTGCTACAATAATATAGTTTATTCTGGATATTTAATTATAAATTCTTTAGAATTTTCTTAAAAAAGAGGATTTTTGAAATTATAACATGCTTTTATTGCATCACTAATGATACTTATAAATGCTTATTTATTTGATAAAGTATAGTCTTACAAAGCTTAATAAATTAAAATTTAGTTTTAGTTAATGTGTTTTTTATTTATCATGAAGAAAAACTTAATAAATTATATAAAATAAATGCAAAACTGATATTATTTTCCTTCCTTTTTTGATTATTAATTGAAATTTTCTAATAAATATTAAATTAAGTTTTTTCCTTCTTTTTAAAAATGTGTTTATAAACTCAAAAGAATCTAATAATTATCTTTATAAAGTTAACCTAGAAAAATAAATGTATATTCACATTGATTTTTGATTTCAAAAATACACTGAACTACTTACAAATAATTTTAATGGAAAAGAATAATTTCTTAATTTTCATCATTTTTAAGAGTGAAATAAATAAGGGCTAAAATACAGTTTCGCATTATATTATTTTTAGTTTTATGTTCAACATTAATTTATTTTTTATTGAAAATAATAAACAATTATATCAATATTTTATGATAATTCATATTTTTAAGTAATTTTTAAATTCCAGAAAGAATTTCCATATCAATGAAATATTAATCTAAAATGCTATACATTTTTTATCTTTATTTTTACATACTTTCTAAATTAACAGATTGCTTTTAAAATTCTTTTAACTTTTACTGTTCATCAATATTTTTTTGGCTCATATATAATTCTTCATTACTAATTTTACCTTATTATTATATTTATACCACTTTATTTACTATTATGGAAGGATAAATTTAATTTATATGCACTTCTCCATCATTTAAATCTTTTGAAGCCAAATCAACTAAATCATCTGGAATGTCTTCTTTAAAAAGGAAGTTTACCATGTCTTCAAAGGCACTATCCAAAATATCCAAAGATTGTAAATATTTTTCGATTTCACGTGAATTTTAATATGTCAAATCTACCAAAGCGAAATTAATTGTATGAAAAGTCAAAAAAAGTTTTTAATATAAATGCTCTATGTCTTTATCGACAATACTTATATTGTTCAAATTTTCATAATATGTTCTACTTTATGAAAATTATTTATAAATTAGATCCACTAATTAAGCTTTAAGTTAAATATCATCATATAATAGCATTTCGCTTAACATATAAGACTACTTTATATCTTTTGGTTTTATTGATATTATATAATATTCTTATAACTTTTATTTTTGCTTCTCAGATAATTTGGAGTATTTTTTTTGATTAGATTCTAAAAAATTCTCAAGGATTTAGTCGTCTTTCTGCCCAAAATATATATTGTACTAATTGTCCTCTAATAAGTTTGTTATTACTGTTTGAAGTAATTTGTCTTGTATGAAAGATAGGCAGTTTAATGAAATACTTAAGTATTTATTAATCTCGGGGGGTAAATATATATTTTAACTTTTGCAAAGACGATCATCTATTTTTTACTTAAAATTTATTTCGGCCTTTATTATTAAATTTAAGTTTAAAAAAATAATAGTATTTAATTTATGGTTTAAGAGAAATAAATAATTTTCTTTATTTTGTTACTTCTATGTATATAAAAGTATATTTAAATATTAAATATATAGTCTTTTCTAAACTTTCAATTTCATTCAGCATATACAAATCATATTTTAATATATAATAGCATAGAGAAAAAATCGAATTTGTTAGTTCGTATGTTTAGAATATTATTTAAGTTTAAATCTTTTATTTTTATTAGGAATATCTATTTATATATATAATTTTATATTTTTGTTACTTTAGTTTCGCTTTAATTTTATTTTTCTGTCATAATATCAATATATTATTTAAAATAATTATTTATTATATCCTTTTTTATTTTTTTAATGTATTATATATTTAATTAAATCTACTTTTAAATTAATATTTTGACAATACTAAGCCTCTTCAAAAACAATTTCTTAATTATTAATTGATTTTACTACACTCATTTAGGTATTAACTATCTTAGTTTCTTAAAAGTATTTGTTTTTATTTTTTTCTGCATTTTTTAAAAACATAGTCTATAATTCTGAATACTCAAATTCATTATAATTTTTGAATTAAATTAAAGAAGGAAAAACTTTCATTTAAGAATATTTCAAATCGTTTGCTAAATAACTTTCTTTTACTAAATTAATAAATATTGCTCTAAATGCTTAAGGAATTTCTGATTTACTAATAATAGTCATACAAACTTAAAATTCATACAACTATTTTATGTGTTCTAAAACTAGAGAGCTTTATCCTTTACATAATTCTGCTGATAAATTAACTACTTGAATCGAATAAAAACATAATTCAGTATTATATTCAACAAAATTTTGATCTATTACATGATCACTATTTTTAGTTTCTAAAACAACCTTTTTTTATATTTTATATTTTAAATTTAAATTTATATAAATGAATATTACTCGGTTGTCTAAAAGTTTAAATTTTCTAAATAATTTTTTTCTGTTCTCTTAATTTAAAAGTAGAATTTATATAATCTCTTCTTATTCATTTTTTTATTTGTTTGGATTATGTTTGCAAAAGCTAAACAATAAATTTAAAGCGTTTAAATTAGGTTCTTCATAATTAAGAGAAGATATGATTTATTGAAGGTTTTTTTAGAAGGTAATATTCATATTTGTTTCTTTAAATATTTAATCAATAAGAGAATCAAATTTAAAATCCATTAACACTTTTTAATCTAAAATTATCATTTTAAATATAGAATACCAAGAAATAATATACATTGAATTCGCATAATTATTTAAACTAACTTTAAGTAAAAACTTTATAATTGTATCTACAAAATTTTTTAATTCATTCTTTTATTTATTTTTTAAAAAATAGCATAAAAAGTATATTTTTTTTTACATTATTATCAATTGTATCAATTCTTAAATATTTTAAAAAGTACATATTTAATATTATTTTTATAAGAATATCTATAATTCCTACGTCCCTAAATATATTTTATTTATCTACAAAAGGCTATTAACTAATCTAATCAAATTCACTTAAATTCTCATTAGAACCTTACATCCACAGGCCTAACTTAGTAATACTTAGTAAAGCTTAATTTAAGAACTTTTTATCATTTTCTATCAATAAATGAGTATTTAATGAAATATTAATAAGCGAATTCGCAAAACAATTGACTACGTTATAATACGAAATAGTATTTTCCTGTACAATTTCAAAAAAGAAAAAATCTCCTTCGGTTTAACTACTTTAAATTGGAAAATACTTTCTTTTAAGGGGGTCTGTGGATATAAAAAAATTAATAAAATAATCTTCATCAGTAAGATTTTTGGAATAATCGTTTTTCATCCAAATATTTTCTTTATGTGTGTAGAGCATTAATTCTTAAGGCAAAGTATTTTAATTAACTACTTTAACGTATGTGTTTTCAAAAATTTTTATTTAAAATTGAGAAGAAGATTTCAAATAAGGTTCTCCTGTGGAAATATTTTCGATTTAAAAGTTCAAAGCCTATAATTGCTAAATTAGGCCTAATTATTAATTTATATTAATCTTTTTTCTAAGGTTTTTTTATTATTTTTCTCCATTTTCGATGTCTTAACCATAATCATCAGTAAATTCGCTCAATGATAATTCGTCTTTATTCATTAGTAGGTACCTTCCAGTTATTAAATGTCTCAGTTTTATTATTGAAAATCCATAGTCAGCATTATCGAATTATATAGGCTCCCCTAGTAAGGAATTAATAGGAGGAATCAACTAAAATATGTCACAAGATGATTATTTCTCCATAATTTTATCTTTTAGTACTAAAAAAGCTTAAGGAGAATACCCTTAGACATTCGTTTCTATGTGAACTGTTGCAATTTAGTTACCACCATTTATAAAATGACTTAATCTAACATAATCTCCCCATAGGATAATTGCTTATTTTTTGGCTTATTTTTAAAAAGTGTCTTATTATTTGAAAAGGATTGCTTAAAAAATTTCGAAATTTTCCTTTTGAATTTTCCTGTGTCCACATCTAGAAATTTTGAAATTTCGCATAGATTCGAGGGTTGGTAGGAGTTTTATTCCTTTATTTTTTTAATTATTTTTTATTGGAATTTCAAACAAAGGTGTAATATATTGATTTCTTAATTAAATGGAAGAATGATATTTTAAATTTTCTAAAAAAAAAAAATCATCATAAGCTATTTTTTCTCCGTCTTTTTTGAAATTTAAATACGGATTTATTTTAATTATCCAGTGTGTTGAATTCGAAGGTTATTGTGTTAGTTTTATATGAAATAAATTCTGGTCTTCATAACTTTTTTCCTATGTGGCTTTTATGAAACTTTCGCTGTATAAATGATAGAGCATTATATCAGATCCTATAGTAACGAATTTTTATTGAAATTATTTAACCCTTTTATCGTTTATTTCGTTCTCCGTTTCCATACGTTTTTTTAATGTTTTTATGTACTCTTCATTAAAATCTTGTTCATTCGCTTTGTTTACTTTATATTTTTCGTATATTTTTAAGGCATTGTAGTAGAGGTTTGGGTATATTGTAAATATTAGTTCGCTTGTATTTGGATAATTTATAATTTCAGTTTATTCTTTTTAAGGTAGTTCAATTAAATATGTTGTTTTTTCTAATATACTACGGGCACTTAAATATCTAAAGGGATGTTCGCTAGTTTTTAATAATATTTAGTCTCCGTAACGTAAATATTTTTGCTTTTAATAATTTGATTAAATACTCATCATTTAAATTAAATATATTTAAATATATTCAAATTATTAAAAATAAAATAGTTTTATTAAAATATATTTTTTTTTTTTTAAATATATTTATATCTCTTTATCAATCTTACATTTTTTTAAATTATTTATATTTATTTATTTAATTAATTGATTCTTGTGTATTTCTAATTTTATAAAAATATAATATTTACATGAATATTTACATAATAAAAAAGAATATTTTTATAGTAAAGATATTTTTAAAAAAATAATTATAAGAATTAATATTTTTTATCATTAATAAAATTTAATAATTTTAAATAAAATTAAAATAAAAATTTTATTATAAAAAATATTTTTAAAAATAATGCTAATATAAAGTATAAATATTCATTTTAGTAAGTTTTTATTATAATTATTGCATTTAGTTTTTTTTTAAATAAAAATTTACACATAATAGATATCATTTATAATTCTATTTTAAATATTAACACATCCAATCATTTTTATTATTTGGATCTTCTTTGCTCCCTTAAATAACAGGAAGTTTATATTCATAAGGAAAAGGTCCGAATTCACAAGTAGCATAAAAAGTTTTATTTTAAAGTTACTTTTAAGTATCAAAAATATTAAACCATTAATCTTTAAACCATTCAATATTTTCCTCATTTTCGTCCGGGCTATTAATTTATATTTAATTTGGCGTTGCTAAAATATTTATATATTTTAAATGTTTAAATATAAACAATAAAGTTACATATTCTTGCATGAATTTATTTTATATTTTTTTTAATAAAATCAAAAGCTGTAAAATATTCAAAATCAAATTCTTTTTAATAAAGTCTTTCTCCAATAACAACCCAATGTGATAAATCAGCATTTAATCTAATATTTGGACAATTTTACAATATTGCTTATGTAACATAAGGGTTCCAAAAAGACCTTTATCTATGTGTTTCATGATTTATAATCTTATTTATTTATTTTTCGAAACTCTCTATATTTTAAAAAAACTCTATATTTTAGTCAATTTACCATGCATCTCTTCCTGAATGTACGTTTATTGCTGCCGGCGATATTTTCAAAGCCTTTTCAACCCATTGTTTATATGAATTTATGTGGTTTACTACTTTTGGGGAGTTTATTGGATATCCACATGTGTGTATTTATGTGATAATTTCGAAATCATTATTTTGACACATTTTTACTAGGTTTAAGAGGTTTTTTTCAGATGTGAATTATATTGCTATCTCGAGACCTTCATATCCTACTTTTTTCATGTGTTTAAATTATTGTTCCCATAAACATAAGTTAAATTCTTAAAAAATTGGTAAATCCCAAGTTGTTCTGAATATTTTCAGTTACATATTATTTTATTTTGAAAAATATATATAATTTTTTAAAGATATAAATATAAAATAAATAATCAATTAATTTTATCTTTTTAAAATCTGGACATGCTTAAATTAATATTATTAATTTATTTAGGCTAATTAATGTGTAATTTCGAAAAATTAATATTACTTCCTCCTAAATTACTATTACTCATAACCAAATTGTTATTACTATAATTATTAAAATTCTACTAACCTTTAAATTTATTATTAAAAAGTATCATAGTTTTCCTTTATTTATTTTAATTACTATTCAAATTCCCTTTAAAGACTCCACTAAATTATTAAATCACATTATTATGACTACTTTAGCATTCTTCTCCTATATTTTCAACAAAATTTTCCTCTTGTCTTTCTTAAAAACTTTTTTCATAATCATCTTCTTAAAATTCGTTTACGATTTTCAGAATAAACTGCCTAATACATTATTCTTCATCATCGAAAATTCTAATCAAAATTTCATCCACATCTTAACTTTCTGGCATTCCTTAAAGTGTAATAATTCCATTTTTCTAATCAAATGCAATCCAATTCGGTAAATTGATGTTTTTCGATGTCCCATAATGTACATAGTCAAAATACAATAGTTTTCTCAAGAACATGCAGTGAGAATTCTTTATTTACTTGAAAGCTTCTACAGAAGCTATTTAATGTGAATGTAAATGGATCGATTCACCTACAGAAGGCCTGAAAGTAGGCGCTGATTGTCTTAAAATACCAAAAGTATCCGCTATAAGTACTATTTTTAATAATTAGAAGTTTATATTGAGAAAACTTTTCTTATTTTAGTCACTTTTGTCTATTTTTTCTATTTTTTCTATTTTTTAATAATAAAAGCATACTTTATTTAAAGCCAAATCTAAAGCTTTATCTTTAATATTAACCTAAGGAAAAGGGACTGGTAAACCTGTTTTATCAAGTTCTTCTGTAGCAATAATTTCTACATACATTTTATACCAATCATTTTATGTATATTAAAAGTTTTTAAGTGAAAAATGTTTCAAGTATTTATAAACAGCATAAGTTCTTACATCGTTTTCAATAAAAAATTATGCGATTTAAGCCCTCAAACATAAATTGAATTTATTATGCTTATTTTGGAAATCTTAAGTGTGGTTTTTAGCTGTAAAAGTTCTCCCTTTATATTTATACTCTGTCTATTGCCTTTGTATATCAGAAACTACTTTCTAAATATTTACAGTACCATCTAAATTGATATATTATAAGATAAATATGCTTTTTTTTTATATTTATTTTTGTGTTTTTAGTATTTCAATGGTATTTTTTAGTGCATAATCTTCGTCTTCATCGTCTATTTTGTGCAGTTTTTTTATTATTTTTTTTTCTTTTTGGGTTGATTAGATGGATGTGTTTTCTAACATCGTATGTATTAAGGGTTCAGTATATTTACCCATTTTATCTTTGTTATTGCTTAGAAAAGATTAGAAAATGGAGTACGCTCTTTCTGCCTCATCTCCTATTAGATTTATTTTTTTAAGATACATTTTATTTATATTTATTATTTCTTAAGAATACATAACTCTTTTAAATAGCAAAATATTCAAGAAAATTGCTTTATATTTAATAATTCCAAAAAAGCCAATAATTGGTCCAAAAATCTTAATTAAATAGTCTAAAATAAAAATAAATGGAAGGCTTTCTACTCTTAAAATAAAAGTATCAAAAGCTTCTGAATAACCATCAGAAGCCAAAACTTTAAATGTGAATTTTTCATACAGATAATTTGCAGGTGCTTTTCCTCTAAATTTTAACTAATCTGCATCAAATTGTAACCAGAAATCGGTTTATAACACTTAAAACTGATTTCCTTGTAAAACAAAGGCTGAATAAAATAATTTGGGAGTATCTTTGTCTATAAAAGTGTTTTTTTCAAATTCTATGACGAGGTCAGTCTCTATAGGAACGATTGATTTTGAAAAAACTTTATTTATTTGACTTTATAGTGTTTTAGTTTGGTTTAAAACCACTTCAAAATTAAGTTTTATAAAATTACACTCATTTATGAGATATTTTTGCTTTATATCAAAATTTATATTGTCTTAAATTAAAATTTCTATTTCATTATTGCCATTGAAATTTTTATCTTTTAATGAATAGGTTATTTTCTATTCAAAAACTTTGTTTATACTAACTAAATTTCCTTCTAATTTTAATTAATCTTACGAATCAGTCGCTGATATGATTACATTAGGGTAATTTATTAATACAAACTTTCCAATTTCTTTATCAATAGTAAGATAGACGTTTAGTTTTTCAGAAATGCTACTTATATATTATGAAGTATTACTTGTATTGAATTATAAAGATGCTTTTACTTCAAACAAAACAGGGTTCATGCTTTTGCTTTTTTAAAGTTTTATTTTTATTAACTCGAAAAAGCGAATTTAATCTAGAATTTTTTCATTTGCTATATTTTGAATTGTTTAAGCAGTTAGAGAATCTAAAGAATCCAAATAATTTTAGGGAGATATGATTCCTTTTTCTTTTAAAATTTGATGTATTTCTAAACTTGTATCTATATTAATTTTTAAATCTTCATCTATAAATGCACTTTCCTATATAGGGACGCTTATCTAAACTAAGATTGTATTTAAATTTTCTTTATTTTCTGAATTTCCTAACGCATCTTTTACTACATTCAAAAGAAGACTTTTGGAAATTCTATTAAAAGTCATCCAGAAGGGAATAGCTTTAATTTCATAATTTTAATAATAAAAAATATTCTAAATTTACACTCCCTCTTCTGGATAAATGACCATAAAAGAAAATTCTGCCTATTATCCAATAAGAATTCGATCTTCTCCACTAATACTTGTCGAGTTTCCTTCTTTTTACAAAATACGGATTTCTGTGTGTAATAAAATATTATTTTTTATAGGCAAAATTGCTGTTCCTAAGTCATTATTTATCAGCATATATGTTAATTCTTATGTTAAGCAATGTGATTGTGAAGATTATTTTCCTATTTAAAATTTACTGATGATTTTCGGCTGTTTAATTTCACGAATGTCCACTAAACTAATCATTCCAGATTCCATAGTAGAAATTATCAAAAAATCCTCGTTTAAAATCGAAGTCACTAAATTTGCCCAACCGGATGTATTAATCCTTGAAAAAATCTATATTTCAGGCAATTTAGATAAATCAAGGATAATAATACCCTTAAAGCCATCATATAAATATGCCACATTATCGTTTTTAAAGCTCCTTATAATACCTTCAGCTCCTAGAGTTTACATTTAATTTACTAAAACTGGTTTTTATGGAATTTCAACATCGAGTATGTATATTCCATAATTTCTAACTGTACCTATTATAAATTAATTGTTATTTGTCGAAAAAGCTCCTGCGTTCTCTCCTGTCATTTCGGGTTATTTAATCCATCTACAAAGAGTTTCTAGTTTCTTTTTATTTCTAGCATTTACATACAAAACACTATCATCGAAAGATATAACAATATAATTTTTATCTTTACTAAAAACTATATGTTCTGCATGCTAAGGAGATTCAACCCATAATTTATCGATAATTATTGGTTCGTTCATATTAGAAACATCAAATGTATATATTACTGAATTGTTTTCTTAAACAGGAACATATAAGAGATTTTCTTCTTCATAAAAAATTAAAGAATCTACAAGTGTGGCAGGTTCAAATTTTATATTTTGTATAATTTTCATTTTATTAATGTCTTTATTTTCTATAGATAATACAAAAAGGCCTTTGTCATCAAAAGCTCCGAAAAAAAATCTAGTCTAAGCATCTACATAGCATCTCCATTTATAAAAACTATCTGAAAAAGAGGTAATATTAACTTAATGTGTATTGAATAAATTAGGAAAATTTTAATTTAGATTTGGAATCGATTTTTAAAAAATATAGACACTTTTTGCATTTACGAAATATATTTTATCTTCTGAAGAAGACATAGTAATATCAAAAGCATGAGCTTCAACTTGAATTTAATAAACAAATATCGGCTGTTCATCTTTATTTTAAATATCAAAAATAAATATTCCTTAAGACCTAACTCCAACTAACAATAAATTCTCTTTTTGATTAATCCACAAAGAATATACAGAAGGATTTATTTCTAAAAAAGGCCAAAATCTTTCATTAAAAATAATCTATTAAGGAAAATTTTCTTCATTTAAAGAGTATAAAAAAGATAAATTAGCAATAAAAATCCCATTCCAATTGTCTAAACAATATGCATATTTCTTATCTTTAGTTATTTTCACGGCCCAGGTTTTCCACTTGGTAAATCCTTAAGCTGCCTTTACAAATGTAAACTAAAATTATTCAATTTATAATAATTTTAAAACCATTAAACCATTTAAATCATCTCCTAAAAAAATCCATTGGCCATCTTCAGAAACTGTTACCATATGTATTATATTTGATTTAGTATTAAATTAAGCTAAATATTTAATTTCGCTTTTAATTCCTACATAATAACACATTACTGCGCCATTTAATCCCACAACAAATATGATTTCTTCTTTTTTTTCTAAAACAATATCTGTTATAGTACTTTATGGGTAAAAATCAATACTTGTTATAAAATTAAGGGCTATTTATTCCTTATTAAATTTAAATACGCTAAATTTTTGCTAATATGACATATAAATATATTATCCATCTGATGTAACTTCAAGACTATGTAAAAATTCGGAAGAAGGTTAGTTATATATTAATTAATTTGTGGTTTAATCAATAATCATAATTCCTCCATATCCACAAGAAACAAATACCAAGTTGCTATTTTTACCAATTTTAACTCGGGTAGATGCCGCTTAATATTAGCTTATTTAATGTTCTTTTACAGGAAATGGGGAAAATATATAATCGTTTATGTTTTAGGTCAATATTAATTGTATCAATGTAATAATAATAATAAACATTATTTTTTATGAATATTTAATTATAAATTATTAAAATTGTAAATAATATTAGATATATTAATTATATTTTTTTGTCGTTTATAATTTAAATATATATTATATACTTTATATAATTGTGTTTATTTATAATAAATGCTAATAAAAATTTTAAAAAGTTTTTAAAAAAGTTAAATAGTAAAAAAGTAAATTTATCTTATTTTCTTTTTTTAAAATTTTTTTTTTATAAATATGAATAAATAATTATTAAGAAAATTTATTAAAAAAATAAAAATACAATTTATATCATTTTTTTAATGAGTTTAAACAGAAAATTACTATTTTTTATAATGTTATCCGAATTTTTAATTTTTTTGTTATATTTTAAAATAACGCGCTTATTATTATTATTGAAAAAATATTATTACTTTATTTAAATTAATTATATAATATTTTAAATAATATTAAAAATATATTTATCTTTTATAAAATTATATAATATTTAAAAAATAAAATCTAAAATTATTTTATCATATTTAATCAGAATTTTTTTTTTATCCATATAACAAATAAATTAAAAAATATTCCCATTATTAAATCAAATTTTTTAATAAAATAAATAAATGAAAACAATAATATGAATTTTAGAGATTATTTATATTAGTGAAAAAATTTCTATATTAAAATAGTGTACTTTTTTATCTGAAATAATTTTTTTGAATTCATTTTATTATTTTGTTTCAATGTACATTAAAAAAATTAAATAAAAACTTTATAGAAAATTATTATTATTTTATTTTTAATTATATTTTATGTATTTTAAATTGGTTTTATTGTCTTTAATTATTAATTTGTATTTAATTAAATTTTGATTATAATTTATTAATTATCTTACCTTCAAAAAATAATTTTTTATAAAATTAAGCATTTATTATATAAATAATTTTTAAAATTTAATAAAATAAAAAATATATTTATACTAAGATTATACAAAAATATTTATTTGTTTTATGATGAAAAATTTATTGTTAATTTAAATAATTAGAGATTAAATGCTTAGACAAATTAGAAACTATGCTTTATAATTTGTCTGAGTATTTTGATATTAAGATATTTAATTAAACTCAGTAATCAGGCATTCTAATAGAAAAATTTATTAAACCTTATTTAATAAGACTAAAAATAATAATTCTATAAATACTTAACCTTTGAAATAAAAAATAATTGTTATTAATCTAACTTAATAAAAAATATACTTTTAAAACATTTTATTTAATTTTTTGCTTCAATTATGTATGTTCCTTTATTAAATTTAAATTTTCCTATTACAGTAATTTTAGCAAAATATGGGATTTGTTTGATAATATATTTGAGAAATTTACAAATCTCTGAAAATTTAATTAACATATAAAAGAATTGTTTTTTACCTTAAAAATATAAATAAGAAGGACATTATGCTTAAATTATATTTTAGAGAAAAGAAATATAAATTAAAAATGTTTTTCTTGTTTTTATTTTAAAATAAGTTTAATTTTTTTTTTTCAATAAAATAATAAATTAATAATCTTAATAAATTTTTATTTAAAATAAAATGTTTTTGTCATAATTATTGTAAATTTATATAGATAAATAAATATATTTTTTAGTATAAATATTTATTATACAACTCATTTTTAATAAACCTACCCAAACCTACTTTTTTTCCTTATATGTGTTTTATTAATTTATTATTCAGAATTTTATTACATTTGCATAGAAAATGCCGCTTATTTTAAAGTACTATTTTGCATAGAAAATGCAGCTTATTTTAAATTACTATCATCATAAAGGCTTTGTCTTTTGCTACTTTTATAATTAGTTTCGTTCTCAACAACATTAATTTTATTTTATTATAACTTAATTTTAAACATGTTATGTTAAATATGTATAGGAATCACTTTACTGGAACTTCTTTATATTTCATTAAATCTTTTGATTAATCTTACTATTAATTAAAAATTTTCTACCAAAATCGGTATAAAATGAATTAATAGTATAAAAGAAGTGACTCCAATCATAATGTATCCAGTATTATATCGTTCAGTTTCATTTTGATCTTATTTATCTTCAATTAATAAAAAGCAACACACTTAAAGGCTTATTAATAAAAGCTCAGAAGTAAGATTTTTTACATTTTCATAAAGTGTGGAATAAGGTTTAGTAACTAAAAAGAAAAAAAAAACAAACACATTCAAAATACTAAATAATGTCAATTAAATATAAGGATAGTCATATAAATATGCAATAATGAGCAAGAAAAGTAATTTCCTAATATATAGTATTACATTTGTATATTTTATATATTTTTAAAATATAAACTAATTATTGTTTTAATCTTTTAATCCTCCAACTAGTTAAGATAGTTTACTTTTTTACATTTAATCTCCGTTTTTAAAAACAAAAAAATACATAAATATAGGAGTAAATATTACAATAATAGTTGAAAGCATATGGAATATATAATTAAAGTAAGAAATATTATCGTAAATTTCAAATTTATAAAATTAAAGAAAAGCAGAAATGCCTACATACATATATACTGTCCAAATTAAATCTAAAAATCCATTATATTCCCATTCATCTTCAATTTTTTATTTTAAATAGTTTTACAAAAACGGAATTTTTAAAAAACTTATTATTTTTTAAATTAAATAAGAAATTAATCCTATAGTAATTATAGTATAACTTTATCCAGCGTTTTTTATGAAATACAAATCAATTTCATTTTACATAAATTTCGGCGGAGATTGTTATACATAGTTTTAATTTACTAAAGGCAAATAAATATTAGGAATAAAAACAAGCTAAAAATTCTTAAATAACTAAAAGAAATTTATTAAATTAATTGGATATCTTATATTTACAAAAAGTAAAAAATAAATAAATGCAGTTATGTCTATAGTATTAAATAACATGAAAAAATTTCCAAAAAAAGATACAGGAAGTGAAAAGGCAATCATTGTATTTGATATTTATTCACCAGACTCTTTTATTTATATAGCCTATTAAATTTACAATTAGGTCAATTATACAAAAAAATCTAACCCTTATTCTCCATATTTTTAGTTAAGCTAATTACTGGCATATAACTTATCAATAATAGTAATTTAAAGTGTTTATGATTTACTATTTTAATCTAAAACAATAAAAAAATAATACTTATTTTCCTAATATTATATAATTATTTTTTAAATTAAAACATTAGTAATTTTAACATCAAAAACTTAACTTAAATTATCATTTTAAAATAGATAATTATTACTAAAAACTACAAAAACTTAATATCCTTAGTTATGTACTTTGTGTTGTATTAAAAATCTTATTCCTTAATTATTTAAAGATTATTATCTAAATGTATTTTATTATGAATTTTATTCAGTTTAAATTTATTATCCACTTTATAAATTATGTAATGTACATTAAGTCTAATCTAAAGCAAGTATATATTAACTTTCGCATTGAATACATTATTTTCCATCAACTTATGAACATTATAAACAGTTATTTATACTACACAAACATTATTTTGAATTTTATTCTAATATATAATTTTTCATACAATTTTGACATTGTTTTCCATCTAATATATTACATTATTAGCAGTTTTATAATTTACATAAGCATTATTTAGTTATAGTATCTAAAAAGTATCCAGTTTGACATGTTTGACATTTGAAACCGTCTTAAGGATCACAAATTATACAATTAAGCGAATTGCAGGTGCAAGTTCCCAAATATGGATCGAATTTGAAATTTTCTTTACATGTTTAACATCTTTAACCGTTCAAAATTTCACATTAATGGCAATTAAGAGATAAACAAATACAAATATTTTTAACTTAATCTTTTAAATATCCTATAATACATAAATCGCATTGATTTCCATTGTATTAATTGCATGTATTGCATCCTTAAAGTGAACATGTACATTATTTTTAAGCATTTAATATATATCCAGTTGTACAATATAGGCATTAAGTTCCATTTTGTTATTAACATTATTAACAGTTTATCAATTTACATTCGCATTATAAAGTAGTTAAATTTTATTAATAACCAGGATAACATATATTGCATTTTTTCAAATCACGTAAAAGACAATCAATACATCCATAAACTTAACATTACTGCACACATGAAATTCCATCTTAACTTACTTCAAAAAAAGATTCGCATTATTAACATACTCCTTTACATAAATTATTTTTTTTTAATTATTTTTTTACCTGTAGAAGAACATTCTATGCAATATTATACTAAACATTAGGTACAGGTTGTTGGAAAATGCTGGTTTATATAATATCCTTTTTCACATATTCCACATACTGTTAATTAAGGACATGAGAGGCAATTACTTATTTAGCAAATGCAATTATAAAGCGAATAGTTTTGGAAATTATAAATTACGATGTGTTTGTCTTTTGGACATTTATAAACTAACTTTTTTTCTTAAGAAACTATTGAGCAATCTTAATATTCACTTTAAAGAGTTTGATAATAACAATTTTAAGAATATTAAATACATGTATTTTCAATCGTCGGGTAATTAACTAGATTTAAAATTTATATATATATAAATATTAAAAAGAAATACTTTCTAAATCACATATAACATTATAATATATAGGTCGGCAAGTAGAATTATTTTCAAGAAAAAATCCTGGAAAACATCTCAAACAAATTGTCTCTACATTATCTTAAACGCAAGAAAAGCAATATTAAACTTTACATCCTTTCGTTTGTTCACATAAATAATTTCCATTCGACATAATTTTTCTTTAAAACTAGTACATGCATATTGTACAACTAGATATAGATGCGCATATTTAACAATTAGTTACACAATTTTTCCATATAGTAACATGTTTTAAGAGAAAAAAATCTTAACTACCAGGGATTTCATTTTCAAACTTTATTCCGAAGCTGCCTGTATATGAAATTTTTCCATTGAATTAAATGCTAGCCTTTGCAAATATGTACTTCAC